TCTGGGGTGCCAAAAAAAAAAAAGGGGGGGGGGGGGGGGGGAATTAAAGGGGGGGGGGGGGGGGGGGGGGGGGGGGGGGGGGGGGGGGGGGGGGGGTGGGGGGGGGGGGACATTACTGTGTCATGGGGGCCCCAATTTCGTTCATGGGGTCCACTTTTCTGGTCATGGGGTCCATTACTGTATAGGGATGCCACATTACTGTGTCATGGATCCACATTACGTGTCAGGGATGCCACATTTCTGTTCATGGGGTGCCCTTCTGTGCATGGATGCCCATTACTTGTCAGGATGCCAATTTTCTGGTTTATGGGATCCCATTACTGTCTGGGGGGCCACCTTACTGTTTGGGAGCCACATTACTGTGTCATGGGATGCCACATTACTGTGTCATGGGATGCCACATTACTGTGTCATGGGATGCCACATTACTGTGTCATGGGATGCCACATTACTGTGTCATGGGATGCCACATTACTGTGTCATGGGGTGCCACATTTCTGTGTCATGGGATGCCACATTACTGTGTCATGGGATGCCACATTACTGTGTCATGGGATGCCACATTACTGTGTCATGGGATGCCACATTACTGTATCATGGGATGCCACATTACTGTGTCATGGGGTGCCACATTACTGTAGTCATGGGATGCCCCCATTTCTGTTCATGGGATGCCACATTACGGTCATGGGAGCCAATTTCGTGTCAGGGGGGCCAATTACTTGGGCATGGGATGCCAATTACTTGTCATGGGATGCCCCTTACTGTGCATGGGGTGCCCCATTCGTTCATGGGATCCCCTTACTGTTTTTGGGATGCCACATTAATGTTCATGGGGTGCCCCATTACTGTTCATGGGATGCCACATTACTGTTCATGGATGCCACATTTCGTTCATGGGATGCCACTTCTGTTCATGGGATGCAATTTTGTACAGGGGTGCCCCCATTACGACATGGGTGCCACATTTCTGTATATGGATCCACATTACGTAAAATGGGATGCCACATTATGTTCAGGATGCCACATTTCTGTATCATGGGGTGCCACATTACTGTATCTTGGATGCCACATTACTGTTCAGGATCCACATTCTGTTCATGGGATGCCACATTACGTAAAAGGGAGCCAAAATTAGGGGTTTTGGGGGGGGGGGGGGGGGGGGGGGGGGGTTTTTTTTGGGTTCCCCCTTTCGTGTATGGGATCCACATTACGTGTCATGGGAGCCACATTACTTTTTTGGGATGCCACATTACTGTGTCATTGGATGCCCCATTATGTGTCATGGGATGCCACTTACTTATCATGGGGTCCACATTACTGTTCATGGATGCCACATTAAGTTCAGGGTGCCACATTACTGGTTTATGGGGTGCCACATTACGTTCATGGGGTGCCCATTACTGTTCATGGGGTGCCACATTTCTGTTCATGGGATCCACATTATTGTTAAACCCATTGGGGATCCCCTTACTGTGCATGGGAGCCCATTAAATGTGTCATGGGATGCCACATTACTGGTTTAGGGGGGCCACATTTCTGGTCTGGGGTGCCCACATTTCTTGTCATGGGATGCCACTTATGTGTCATGGATCCACATTTTCTGTGTCATGGGAAGCCCCATTACTGGTCTGGGATTGCAAATTAAATGGTCATGGGATGCCACATTACTGTGTCATGGGGTGCCACATTACTGTGTCATGGGGCCAATTATTGTTTGGGCCCTTACGTGTCATGGGTGCCACATTACTGTGTCATGGGGTCCCTTTTCTGGGTAGGGAGCCACATTACTGTGCATGGGATCCACATTTTCTGGTCATGGGATGCCACATTTTGTGCATGGGATGCCCATTACTGTGCATGGGGTGCCACAATACTGTGTATGGGGGTGCCACTTACTGGTTTTATGGGATGCCCAAATTTCGTTCATGGGATGCCAATTTTCTGTTCATGGTTTCCACATTACTGGTCATGGGAGCCACATTATGGTCATGGGGTGCCCATTACTTTCAGGGATGCCACATTTCTGTTCTGGATGCCACTTACTGGTCATGGGTGCCACATTCTGTGTCAGGGATCCACATTACTGTTTCATGGGGTGCCACTTTCTGTTCATGGGGGCCACATTACTGGTCTGGATGCCCATTACTGTTATGGGATGCCACATTACTTTCTGGGAATCCACATTTTCTGTTCATGGGGTGCCCCATTATTTCATGGGGTGCCCATTATGTTCATGGGATGCCACTTACTGTGTCATGGGATGCCCCAATTTTCTGTGTCATGGGATGCCACATTACGATCATGGGGTGCCACATTACTGTTCATGGGGTGCCCATTACTGTTCATGGGTTTCCCCATTCTGGTCATGGGGTCCACTTTTACCCTTTTGCAGGGGGTGCCACTTACTGTTCATGGGATGCCACATTACTTGTCTGGGGTGCCACTTACTTTCATGGGATGCCCCATTTCTAAACATGGGATGCCACATTTCTGATCATGGGTGCCACAATTTCTGTGTCAGGGGTGCCACATTCTGTGTCATGGGATGCCACATTACGTGTCTGGGATGCCACATTTCTGGTATGGGGTGCCAAATTACGTTCATGGGGTGCCACTTTCTGTCATGGGATCCACATTTCTGGTTTATGGGATCCACATTCTGTGTCATGGGGTGCCCCTTCTGGTATGGATCCACATTACGTGTCATGGGGTCCACTTTCTTTTCGGATGAAATTTCTTTTTGGGAAAATTTTTATATGGGGAAATTTTTTTGGGGTGAATTACGTGCGGATCCCCTTAGTGAACAGAATACCATGGGGGGCCAAATTTTTCATGGGGATGCCCATTACGTATTGGGATCCCAAATGTTCTCGAATTTTTTGATATCCAAAACTTTAGGGGCCCCAATATGTTTTTGGGATGCCCCTTTTTTCTACCACTTATGTGAAACATTTTGGTTGGGGGAAATTCTTTCCCGGGGGAATTTTTTATAAAATTCTTTCAGGGTTCCAATTTGTTAGGGAGCCAAACTGGTCGGGAGATTTCGTTCGGGTGCCCCAAACGTTTGGTCCACTTTTACATGGGGGTATTTTTGTGAAGATAATAATAGTGATTGTTTTACAGTGGTGAAGTGTTACAGTGGAGGATCACTGAAGTGACAGAATACCATGTATACCATATATTGCAGTGGTTACGTGCCCAAATAACAGCTATTGGGCACCACTGTTCTCGAATATTGAATTATCAAAGCTTACGTAACAATCAATGGTTAAAGTGAATGGTCATTGTTGATACCGACAAAATGTCGAAAAAAAAAGACATTTTAGTTATGAAGAAGATACTCACAGTGATAAGTTTTCTTTAGTAAATATCCTGAAGTCTACCTAAGTTTGTTACAGACAAGAGCGAGATAACTAGAGTGCGGGAGAGTTGACGCTGGTCTGAGGCTGCAACACTTTGTCAACTCTACATGTATATGGTGTGGTAGGGTTTAAGCTGGGGCAAGGTTTAAGTTAGGTTAGGATTTAGCCTGAGGCAGGGTTTAAGTTAGGTTAGGATTTAGGCTTGGGCAAGGTTTAAGTTGGGTTAGATTTAGGCTAGGCGGTTTAAGTGGGTAGGATGCTGGGCAAGGTTTTAAGTTGGGTTAGGGTTTAGGCTGGGGCAAGGTTTAAGTTGGGTTAGGATTTAGGCTGGGGCAAGGTTTAAGTTGGGTTAGGATTTAGGCTGAGGCAGGGTTTAAGTTGGGTTAGGATTTAGGCTGGGGCAAGGTTTAAGTTGGGTTAGGATTTAGGCTGGGGCAAGGTTTAAGTTGGGTTAGGATTTAGGACTGAGGCAAGGTTTAAGTTGGGTTAGGATTTAGGCTTGGCAAGGTTTAAGTTGGGTTAGGGTTAGTGTGGGGCAAGGTTAAGTTGGTAGGATTTAGGCTGGGCAAGGTTTAATTGGTTAGGATTTAGCTGAGCAGGTTTAGTTGGGTTAGGTAGCTGGGCAGGTTTAAGTTGGTTAGGGTTAGCTGGGCAGTTTAAGTTGGGTTAGGATTTAGACTGGGCAAGTTAATGGGTTAGGATTAGGGCTGAGGCTGGGTTTAAGTGGGTTAGGATTAGGCATGGGCAAGGTTAAGTTGGGTTAGGGTTTAGGCTGGGGCAAGGTTTAGTTGGGTTAGGATTTAGCTGGGCAAGGTTTAAGTGGGTAGGATTAGCGAGGCAGGTTAGTGTGGGGAAACATGAAGACCGCTGGAGCAGGTGAGGGTGGAGCAGGTGAGGGTTGGAGCAGGTGAGGTTGGAGCAGTAGGGCTGGCAGGGCGAGGCTGAGCAGGTCGAGGGCTGGAGCAGGGCGAGGGCTGGAGCAGGCGAGGGCTGGAGCAGGGTGAGGGCTGGAGCAGGGCGAGGGCTGGAGCAGGTGAGGGCTGGAGCAGGGCGAGGGCTGGAGCAGGGCGAGGGCTGGAGCAGGCGAGGGCTGGAGCAGGGCGAGGGCTGGAGCAGGGCGAGGGCTGGAGCAGGGCGAGGGCTGGAGCAGGTGAGGGCTGGAGCAGGTGAGGGCTGGAGCAGGGCGAGTGCTGGAGCAGGGTGAGGGCTGGAGCAGGCCGAGGGTTGGAGCAGGGCGAGGGCTGGAGCAGGCGAGGGCTGGAGCAGGACGAGGGCTGGAGCAGGGCGAGGCTGGAGCAGGCCGAGGGCTGGAGCAGGACTGGAGGGCTGGAGCAGGCGAGGGCTGGAGCAGGCCGAGGGCTGGAGCAGGACGAGGGCTGGAGCAGGGCGAGGGCTGGAGCAGGGCGAGGGCTGGAGCAGGGCGAGGGCTGGAGCAGGACGAGGGCTGGAGCAGGGTGAGGGCTGGAGCAGGGCGAGGGCTGGAGCAGGCCGAGGGCTGGAGCAGGGCGAGGGCTGGAGCAGGACGAGGGCTGGAGCAGGGCGAGGGCTGGAGCAGGACGAGGGCTGGAGCAGGACGAGGGCTGGAGCAGGATCTGAGGTTACGAGTAAGGTTAATACAGCCAGGGAAGGACGTACTTGTATGAAGGTGTCCCTGAGAGCACAGTGCGGCACAGGGATGGGCGACACACTGCGCATGCGGAGCACCTCAGTCAAAGTCGCGTCCATGTAGACCAATCTGCAGGTATGGTATACACACACACACGCGCACACACATACACACACACACACACACACACACACACACACACACCCCCACACACACACACACACACACACACACACACACACACCACCACACACACACGCACGCATGCACGCGCATACACACACACACACACACGCACATACACACACACACACGCACACACATACACACACACGCACGCACGCACGCACACACACACACACGCACACACACGCACGCACGCACACACAAGATTAAATTTACAAGAGAAATATAAAGATGCTTACATTTTGGCTTTATTTATAATTAGTTTTGAGTTATTCATGCTTATATTTGTTATTATCGGATTTAATATTATGTTGATGGGGAAGCGCTAAACCCGTAAAGGTCATACAGCTTCTCCAATGAATGAGGCAATCAGGTTTGACTAGATAATAAAGTTAGTTTTAAATTCTTGGAACAACATTGCTTGGACATGTAAGTAGCAGTCCCATCTCCAGCTCACAGTGGCACACACACGTCTTCAAACATCTTATATACAATATCCAAAATACTCTCCAAGTTAAAATAAAATCTCTGATTTAAATTATACCAGCAACACCAATTTAAGATCATTGTGGAAAATAATTTCCCAAAATTATATTGTATATTTTGTATAATGTAAATATAGATGATTAATGCATTACTGTTGATCTGAAGTGTATTTTGAAGAGGAGAACCATCAGAGAAGCTGCGCATGCGCCGAGGGAGAGAGAGGCGGGGGAGTGTTTGGAATGTGTTTTAACAGGCTGGTCCCCTCAAGGAAGGTTCCTTGATGTTGGTGAGGGGCTCTTGATTTAGGGAATTGGATCTGTGCTCCAGTTCCCCGAATTAAGCCTGAATGCCTTCCACATCCCTCCCCCAGGCGCTGTATAATCCTCCGGGTTTAGCGTTTCCCCCTTGATAATAATAATAATAATAATTAACAGGCTGGTCAAAAATGGGACCATGAAATTGGCGTCCACGGCGGCCTAAGGATTAATATAGGCCTCACATCGTAATAGGAAGTGTTGTAACTGTTCCCGGTGAAGAGTGAGGGAACGTGATTTACGGGACCACTGTAATACAGTGGTAAAATTAGTGTATAATGGTAGATGCCTAGGGGGAAATGGCGCGAGGCCAGGACGAGTGTTCAGAGGAAAATACCCGTGATTCAATTATCACTCACCGAGATCGGATCTTAATGTATGGATTTCTAACGTGTGTAAAATTAACAAGACACTAAGTGGTCTTGTGAATTGTAGTGAAATCAGTGATAATAACAGTAAGTTAAGGGAATGTGTGGAGTGAAATGAGTCGCCGTTCTCCGAGTGAACACATGTAAGTGTGCGTAGAACACGGTGCTGTTCGGAGTTTTGTCTTCTGAAGCCGGACCTATCCAAGTGATATCATAATCCTGCTGAAAGACGAACTGTATCAGTTTAGCAGGATATCGAAATGAGATAGTGAATGGAGGAAATAAGGAACCTCAACCACCCACAGTTAAGTAACCTTTCTAGTTATAGCAAACTGATACTGGCCAGTTGGGCATGATATAATATGATAGGTGTTGTGGGTGATCCAGCTGCATCAAGTGACCACCAGAGAAAATCTGGAAAGTGGTGGTATTAGACAAGTGTTTTCCCTATGGATATACATGTGTGTAACCCACCCCACCTTTTCCTTCAATCTAATGTAATCCATACAGTCGACAACTATTTAGTAGCGCCGTACTTGCGGGTGCTATCCATTTCTATACTGGTCTAGGATAGATATGGGTAAGATTTGTGTGGGTTTTCGAAGGGGCCACTTGCAGCGACCAGGGGTGGCTTAAGTTTTCTCACACGTCTACACGGGGTAACTACTGTAAACAATATATTGTTGTCGCCTCACAATGAGATTACTTGTATGACTGTAATGTTGAGGTTCATACAGGTAACCCCTTATAAATTTTCCACAATCACCACTTTTTGCTCTCTGCAATTGTAAATGTGTCTGACTGGCGACTACTGAATCGATAACTGATCCTTACTTGGTACGGTCGTCCAAAGAGGGTAGGTGGGTGTGGCCCACAACATGTCCAGCTCTTTGTGTATTTTATGCATTATGGTAGGATGGTGGGCCACCAGCAACACGGCAAAGCAGAGTGTAGCAGAGCTGCTGTCAGAACCAGCGGTGAACAAGTCAACACACACCCCAACCAGCTGCTTCTCTGGTGAAGCAAATAAAAACTTTCAATAAATATTTTGATGTACGACTTTGTATTCTTTAGGTATCTCTGAATGTCAAAATTTCAACTGGAATGAAAAAATAAGATAAAAATACCTGTAAAAGTAGTATATTTTTCGTTTTTATTGTTATTGATCTCATTGATGTAAATATCCATGAAGTCTCGCAGGTTGTCTGGGTCAAGCGACGACTTGTGCTTCTCAACACTTCTCTTTCAAATTGAAAAATATATCAACAGTATAGTGTGCGCATATACAATATATATATATGTATATATATATATATATATAATATATATATATATATATATATATATATATATATAATATATATATATATATATATATATATATATATGTATATATATATATTTTAGAAAGGACTTAATTTTAAATGATTCTTGCTAATTGACCAGTTTTACATATACGGACGACATATATATTTTATATATATGCATGTATATATATATATATATATATATTATATATATATATATATATATATATATATATATATATATATATATATATATATATATATATATATATAAACAACACTGCGACTAGCCACGGTTAGAGCGTCTTGGAAGTTTCGCTTACCATGAGGCGGGCTAAAACAACACGGGTTCGAATCCTCGGCTACTTGCAGTGTTGTTGATATATATATATATATATATATATATATATATAATATATATATATATATATATATATATATATATATATATATATATATATATATATATATATATATAATGTGTGTGTGTGTGTATATATTATGTCGTGCCGAATATGTAAACTGGTCAATTAGCAAGAATTCCTTTAAAATTAAGTCCTTTCTAAATTTTCTCTTATACGTTTAAAGTATATTTTTTCATTAATGTTAATGCAAAAATTTTTAATTTGCACCAAAGAATCTAGAAAACTATAACCTTATTAATAAGAGAGGCAATTTTTTTGCCTAACCAATTATATATTTTAGATATGTTTACAATAATTAATACAAACAACACAGTGAAATATATTTTTTTCGTTAGGTTCAAAATGATTTTGCGACATTATTGCATACACAAAATTTTCACTTTCATTATGGCAAGATGAACGTTGCTTTTAAGCAAGATTGCAATTTTGCTACCACAAAATATTATATAATAATATATATTATATATATAGATAGATAATTATATTATATATATATATATATATATATATATATTATATATTTTATAATAATATATAATATAAATATATAAATAAATATATATATTTTATTATATATATATAATTTATATTATTGTTATACTAAATATTATTATATATATATATAAATAATATTATATTATATATATATGAATATTTTGCTATTATATAATATATATATATATATATATATATATATATATTATAATATATATATATATTATGTATATAAAATATATATATATATATATATATATATATATATATATATATATATATATATATATATATAATTATAATTGTTCTAGGTAGTAAGTTGGTAGACAGGTACTACCGTCCTGCCAAGTGAGTGTAAAACGATAAGCCTGTAATTGTTTTACATGATGGTAAGATTGCTGGTATCCTTTTTTCTGTCTCATAAACATGCAAGATTTCAGGTACGTCTTGCTACTTCTACTTACACTTAGGTCACACTACACATACGTGTACAAGCATGTATATACACACCCCTCTGGGTTTTCTTCTATTTTCTTTCTAGTTCTTGTTCTTGTTTATTTCCTTTTATCTCCATGGGGAAGTGGAAGAGAATTCTTCCTCCGTAAGCCATGCGTGTTGTAAGAGGCGACTAAAATGCTGGGAGAAAGGGGCTAGTAACCCCTTCTCCTGTACAAATTACTAAATTTAAAAAGAGAAACTTTCGTTTTTCTTTTTGGGTCACCCTGCCTTGGTGGGATAAGGCCGGTTTGTTGAAAGAAGACTTATGTTATTGTGGTAGGGGACCGAAATGCAAAAGTAGGAGAAACATTTAGAGAGTGTGTGGTAGGTAAGTTTGGGGTGCCAGGTGTATATGATAATGGGAGCCCTTTGATTGAACTTTGTATAGAAAGGGGTTTAGTTGTAGGTAATACATATTTTAAGAAAAAGAGGATAAATAAGTAAACAAGATATGATGTAGGGCGTAATGACAGTAGTTTGTTGCACTACGTATTGGTAGATAAAAGACTATTGAGCAGACTTTAGGATGTACATGTTTATAGAGGGGCCACAGATATATCAGATCACTCTCTAGTTGTAGCTACAGTGAGAGTTAAAGGAAGATGGGATACAAGGAAAATATGAGCATCAAGTAAGAGAGAGGTGAAGGTGTATAAATTAAAAGAGGAGGCAGTTAGGGTAAGATGTAAACAACTTTTGGAGGATAGATGGGCTAGTGAGAGTATAGGTAATGGGGTCGAAGATGTATGGGGTAGGTTTAAAAATGTAGTGTTAGTGTGTTCAGCAGAAGTTTTGGTTACAGGAAAGTGGGTATGGGAGAGAAGAGGAGGGGATGGTGGAATGATGATGTAAAGAGAGTAGTAAGGGAGAAAAAGTTAGCATATGAGAGGTTTTTACAAAGTAGAAGTAATGCAAGGAGGGAGGAGTATATGGAGAGAAAAAGAGAGGTTAAGAGAGTGGTAAAGCAATGTAAAAAGAGAGCAAATGAGGAAGTGGGTGAGATGTTAACAAATTTTGTTGAAAATAAGAAAAAGTTTTGGAGTGAGATTAACAAGTTGAGGAAGCCTAGGGAACAAATTGATTTAGTCAGTTAAAAATAGGAGAGAAGAGTTATTAAATGGAGAGTTAGAGGTATCGGGAAGACGGAGGGAATATTTTGAGAAATTGTTAAATGCTGATGATGATAGGGAAGCTGTGATTTCATGTATAGGGCAAGGAGGAATAACATCTTGTAGGAGTGAGGAAGAGGCAGTTGCGAGTGTAGAGGAAGTTCTTGAGGCGGTCGGTAGGTGGGTATGGAAGAGGGTAAGGTACCTAGGGATTGAGTATACCTGGTAAAGTGTATGTTAGAGTTATTGTTGAAAAAATTAAGAGTAAGACGGAGAGTAGGATAGCAGATGAACAAGAAGGCTTCAGGAAAGGTAGGGGGTGTGTAGACCAAATGTTTTTAGTGAAACATATAGGTGAACAGTATTTAGATAAAGCTAAAGAGGTTTTTATGGCATTTATGGATTTGGAAAAATCGATATGACAGGGTGGATAGGGGGGCAATGTGGCAAATGTTGCAGGTGTATGTTATAGGTAGGTTACTGAAAACAGTGAAGGATTTTTTACAAGGATAGTGAGGCTCAAGTTAGAGTATGTAGGAAAGAGGGAGATTATTTCCCAGTAAAAGTAGGCCTTAGATAAGGATGTGTGATGTCACCGTCGTTGTTCAAGAGATGTGAATGCGAGGGTCTTGGCAAGAGGTGTGGAGTTAAAAGATAAAGAATCAAACACAAAGTGGAGTTGTCACAATTGGTTTTTGCTGATGACACTGTGCTCTTGGGAGATTCTGAAGAGAAGTTGCAGAGGTTGGTGGATGAATTTGGTAGGTTATGTAAAAGAAGAAAATTAAAAGTGAATATAGGAAAGAGTAAGGTTATGAGGATAAAACGATTAGGTGATGAAAGAATGGATATCAGATTGAAGGGAGAGAGAGTATGGAGGAGGTGAATGTGTTCAGATATTTGGTAGTGGACGTGTCAGCAGATGGGTCTATGAAAGATGAGGTGAATCATACAACTGATGAGGGAAAAAGGGTGAGCGGTGCACTTGTGAGTCTGTGGAGAAAAGCTAAGAGGGGAATGTATGAGAGTATAGTTTTACCAACGCCCTTACATGGGTGTGAAGCATGGGTGATGAATGTTGCAGTGAGGAGAAGGCTGGAGGCAGTGGAGATGTCATGTCTGAGGGCAATGTGTGGTGTGAATGTAATGCAGAGAATTCGTAGTTTGGAAGTTAGGAGGAGGTGCGGGATTACCAAAACTGTTGTCCAGAGGGCTGAGGAAGGGTTGTTGAGGTGGTTCTGACATTTAGAGAGATTGGAACGAAACAGAATGACTTCGAAAGTGTATAAATCTGTAGTGGAGGGAAGGCGGCTAGGGGTCGACCTAGGAAAGGTTGGAGGGAGGGAGTAAAGGAGGTTTTGTGTGCGAGGGGCTTGGACTTACAGCAAGCATGCATGAGCGTATTTGATAGGAGTGAATGGAGACAAATGGTTTTTAATACTTGACGTGCTGTTGGAGTGTGAGCATTTATAAAAGAATTCAGGGAAACCGGTAGGCCGGACTTGAGTCCTGGAGATGGGTAGTGTTTGCACTGTGAAGGAGGGGTGTTAATGTTGCAGATTTATAAACTGTAGTGTAAAGCATCCCTCATCAAAGACAGTGATGGAGTGAAAGATGATGAAAGTTTTTCTTTTTCGGGCCACCCTGCCTTGGTGGGAAGCGGCCGATGTGTTAATAAAAAATAAATAAATAAATAAATATATATATATATATATATATATATATATATATATATTATATATATATATATATATATAATATATATAAAACAACCACCTGAAAGAATAGAGAAATTTCAAGCGCTTTCGTGACTACTCACATTCCTAGGAAAGGTTGGAGGGAGGGGGTAAAGGAGGTTTTGTGTGCGAGGGGCTTGGACTTCCAGCAGGCATACTTGAGCGTGTTTGATAGGAGTGAATGGAGACAAATGGTTTTTAATACTTGACGTGCTGTTGGAGTGTGAGCAAAGTAACATTTATGAAGGGGTACAGGGAAACCGGCAGGCCGGACTTGAGTCCTGGAGATGGGAAGTACAGTGCCTGCACTCTGAAGGAGGGGTGTTAATGTTGCAGTTTAAAAACTGTAGTGTAAAGCGCCCTTCTGGCAAGACAGTGATGGAGTGAATGATGGTGAAAGTTTTTCTTTTTCGGGCCACCCTGCCTTGGTGGGAATCGGCCAGTGTGATAATATTAAAAATAATATATATATATATATATATATATATATATATTAATATATATATATATATATATATATATATATATATATATATATATATATGAAAGACATTGACACACACGATGCCTTCTACCTACTCACCAGGTGCCTGTCAATCCCAAAACTTACGTACTTTCTTAGATGCTCCCCAGCCTTCAGCAGTCCAAAACTCAAGGAATATGACTCTCTCCTTAAGACCATGCTAGAGAGTGTATTGAATCTTTCCCTTTAAGATGGACAGTGGTTGCAAGCCTCACTTCCGGTCAGGCTTGGAGGGCTAGGAGTACGCAGATCCTCCCAGATTGCTCTACCAGCTTTCCTGTCATCTTCCATAGCATCAAACGAGTTGATAAGACAAATTCTTCCTGATACCCTCAGTGACTCAGCAGGAATAGAAGACCCTAGCTATGCCAGTGCCATCACTGACTGGGAGATTCTTGCTGCTCCAGCACCAAACCCTAGTGCAGCACTGGCTCACAAAGAGTCAAGCTGGGATGGCCCGATCACTGAAAAGATGCTTGCCAACATGCTCAGGGCTGCAACATCAGATAGAGAGATTGCCCGTCTCCAGGCTGTGAGCGCACATCACTCCGGGGACTTCCTCTAAACAGTTCCCATATCGGCAATGGGAACGCGACTCGACCTAAGACCCTCCTTATTGCAGTGGCTCTGCGCCTTGCTGCCCCAATTCACACAGAATATACGTGTATTTGAGGCGAAGCACAAGCAGACCAATATGGTCTACATGGTCTTAACTGTTCCAAAACCAAGGGATGGCATGCAAGACACAATGAGGTCAACGACATTATTTAGAGAACCCTTGCTACAGCTGGATGCCCAGCCGAGAGGGAGCCCCGATCACTAGCAGCCAACAATACCCACAACCCAGCAAACTGCCCCGATGGGATCACCATCTATCCTTGGAAGAATGGCAAGCTCTTAGCATGGGACTATAACTGTGTGTCCACACTGGCTGACACCTATATCAATCACAGTGTGGGGCGACAGGGAGGAGCTGCTGACCACAGGGAGGAGTACAAGATCAGCAAGTACAGGGACATAAGCCAACAGTATCAATTTGTGCCAGTGGGATCAGAGGCCTTGGGATCATGGGGAAAAAATGCCACACATTTCCTTAAAGAATTGGGTTCCAGACTCATCGACACCACCAGGGACCCAAGGGCAGCCACTTTCATGTTCCAGCGCCTCAGCATGGCCATCCGGAGGGGAAATGCTTGCTGCAAACTTGGCTCGCTTCCAGCCTCGGAGGAGCTGGAGGAAATTCATGATCTTTGATACATTGTGCCATTGTATTCATGTTTATGTTTTTCAGAGGCCTTGGGATCATGGGGAAAAAATGCCACACATTTCCTTAAAGAATTGGGTTCCAGACTCATCGACACCACCAGGGACCCAAGGGCAGCCACTTTCATGTTCCAGCGCCTCAGCATGGCCATCCGGAGGGGAAATGCTTGCTGCAAACTTGGCTCGCTTCCAGCCTCGGAGGAGCTGGAGGAAATTCATGATCTTTGATACATTGTGCCATTGTATTCATGTTTATGTTTTTCTGTAAATGTATTCTGTTTATTAATAAATGTTCACATAGAATATCTAATATAGGGGGTGGTAGGAGAAGAAAATATTCAAACAGCTCCAGGGAGAACCTTGAGTTTTCCCTGAGGTACGTTTATTGTCTTCTCTGAGGATGAGGGTCCCATTCCAGCCATAGAGGTGGTACTTCCCTATATATATATATATATATATATATATATATATATATATATATATATATATATTATATATATATATATATATATATATATATATATATATATATATATATATATATGTATTATGATGTTATACCATATCTGTATTAATCACTGGTGGTTCTTGTTTTATTGAACTTTTGCAAACATTAAACAAACTGTAAAGATACTAAGTTTGCGCAAACTAAACAACACCGAACCAGAAACTTCAGTAATCTTTTCCTTCGGTATTCTCCTGAATTTCCCATGGTAAACCTGACTTTCAGGGCCTGAGAGAGTAACAGTGAACCATTTTCACCTTTGGGTGAAGTTTTCTATTTGCTTACATTTTTTTTCATTGGTAACTCAGAATGACTCATTTAAACTTATGTGAAAATTTCCAGTATGAACACACACCTTCAATACTTCAAAGAAAGAACTTCACGAAATGCTTTAAGAAACTGCTAGATCATTTACTGGCAGAAGTGTCTGGGATTTCAAAATTAGACATATGAAATGCCTATAGTAAATGAACTCAAAATTGCAGAGGCAAGTCATAACATGAAGAGTATGGATTTTCTTTCATGCCAAAATCAATAATCTTTTACTATATAACACTGTATTTGTATTAATTAAAATGAAAATACCGACCTTTATAAACTTCTTGACAGAGAATAAAGCGTCCATGAACCTATGAAAGTTGGAACTCTTGGGTAGAATGTGACGCAGTGGAGGAAAGTAGTTGACGAGACCACCCGAGACCTGCACACCAGAGCCAGAGTTAGTACACATCACCATAATTACCCATTATCCATGCACCCTAGATCCCTCCCGTCACGCTACCACCCCCACCAATTATTCCTCCATCCCATTCTCCTGATACATAACCACTCCACCCCAACACCTCTCTATCCATCCCTTTCTCTTCCATTACCACCCCAACACATTACCTCTCGCCCTACCCTGTTCCTGGTAAGAGCGCGCCAAGCTTCAACCATCCATATATTCATATATAAGTGCTACTAGGCCTTCAGCCAATCAAAAGGTGGTAAACCTTTTTTCATCCTTATTGAGTTGTAGCACACTAAATGCGTGATAAAGGAATAACAGGAAAAGCGGGTAGAGAGATATATTACTTCTTAACAAACTGAACACAAATATTAATAGTAAACAGTAAAGTCAGAGGCGACTCCAGTGAAAAGCTCTGTTCCACAACCTACAGTACTCGCCCCCATCCTTTTCCTCAACCTCATATCTGATATAGACAGAAATGTAAGCACAGCACTGTGTCCTCCTTTTTGTTTTTTTGTTTTTGTTTTTTTATTTTTATTTAAAAGGCACAGATATAAATAAATAAAATAATTTATTAATTAACCATGTGCAAAAAAAAAAAAAAGGTACCAATAACCCCATAGCATACGCTAAGTATTACATTCATAATGTATTAAAAGATATACCCGCACCTAACAGAATGAAAAGAACAGGATAAACCTGCTTAGAAAATACATTAACAAAGTCCAATCTTTAATTCATGCCTGTAACACTATACAATAAGGCCCCTTGCACCAAGTACACAGAAGATATTATACAGCATACCAAGGATAAAATTAAACATTACAATAATTAAACAAAAGACATACCTAAACCTACAATAAAAGTGCAAAGACATATCACAATAATTTAGCAACTCACAAATCCCCCACGCTTGGTACAATTAGATCCCGTGCACAAAGTGCACAGTAAATATATATACAACATACAAAAGTTGATCATACGGAACATTAATTTAAAGCTTAGGCAAACCAAAGCTTACAATAAACATTACAATTGGTACATATCACAGTGTAACCCTCACATTAACACTGAGCAGGAAAACCCGCAATTAAAAGATAACATTATATATGCAAGAACAGTTCATACAAATGACAAAATCCTAACGTAAGGCATCAAAACTGCATAGATCCAGTGGATGCTGTTCAACGGTCACGCCATACACATGTTACCTGTCATCATATCCATGAAAACGTTAATTGGGGGTCTAGTGATAAACTTAACATGCTAAATCGTAGAAAGTTGTAACATTATGTCATCCTTCAGAAAAAAATAACGACAAACCTTATGAGGTGGTCGTTTTGCAAAAGGATAACCAAAATACAATATTTCATTTACACACCACTTATAATGCTTAAAATAACCCCTAAAAAGGCAATTATTAAACCACTATACTATTGGTGGTGACATCAGCACGTTGACTGTGTGCTACATGTCACGAAAAATACCTAAGAGGACACTGGGAAAGACCCACATAGACTTCACTGCATCACCAAAAAACATCAGCAAAAAATACATACTCGGCCATAGCCTGGTAACTAGTCCAGTATGGCACAAAAGTTAAAAACATTTACCGAACAAAAACTTTTTGTCCGTCTTGCTAGGCTGTAATGTCCAGGAAGTAGAAAAAAAATCAAGATCTCAGTCGCACATCGCATCACATCATACACCCTCAAGCACACGTAACTTACCTTAACTACAAACACGCAACTCAGTAACTCCCGCTTCCAACCCTAAAAGTCCTAACATACCTTAGGGTGTTACCACGGGATGAGTCCAACCCCTCGCTGCCTTACCCGCCTCTCAGTTGCAGTAACCCCTGTACTGTAAGACTTCTACAATACCTTGCAGGGAAAACGGTACCCCACCTCTCACCGTAAAGGAGTTTATACCTACAAGCTATTCTATAAATACCCGCTGAAATCGCCCTAACCCTAACTGCTCCCTCGGTTTCCCTCATACCCCATGAGATATATAGGAAATCAGCCACCACCTACCGTATTGCCCTTCTTACCTCCCTTGACACTCCGCTAACTTCCAAGGTAAAGGCCCGTATAATTGAGATACGTCTTCCACTAAGAAACCCTAAAACCCTCCCCAGCCACATACGAACTTCTCCCAATGTTTCACAAAAATAAACCGCATGAAACGCAGTTTCTTCCATACCAGAACTTAAACAACTCGCCTCCCTTACCAAACCCATTCTACTTAAAACTGATTTTGATGCTAAAATACCCATGATGAATCTATACACTAATTCGCGAACCCTCGGCGCCAACTTAAGCCTACAAAAACCGTCCCATATTTTCTCCCAATTATACAGCGGAAAAACAGACACTCCCTGCATAATTTCCCTATGACAACATCTCCGCACCATCTGTCCCGCCCTAATCCTTTGAACATTTTTCAACTTTAACAATAAACGCAACATGTCCTCACACTCTATTAATCCTCTGCCACTCCACCATTTGGCATATCTACCATAACCCGACCCACCCGGACTCCCTTCTCCCCGCCTTCCCTAAGGAACCGCTGCTTTACTTATAGAGCCTTAGCTCGTGGCCCCAATGCCAAGAGACCTAAACCCCCAAGACGTACGTGTGTTATGACAACCTCCCAACTCAACCAAGCTCTCCCGTAGCCCCATACATAACGTAAGACCCTTCTCTGCAGCTCCTGAATATCCACGTCCTGTAATGGGTATACCTCAGCCACTCCCCATACCTTGCTGTAAACAAGAGAGTTTAACCACCACTGTCCTTTGTTGCAAGGAGACATCCCAAGCTCTTAAACCTCTGAGACGGTCTAAAGTTTTTTTTACCACCAATTCAGAATTTACCCTTCGACCTTCCATCTCTTCCGCCATGTACACGAACCCACATATTTTAAGCTGCTTCATGACTGACCACCCATACCTTTTACCCAAACCCCCCACCACCCACGAACCTACCTCCAATAATTTTGATTTTGCTCTGTTAACGCATGTACCAGTTGCTGCCCCAAAAAACTCAACCCTGCCTAGGATCTGCAAATCCTCCTCCCTTTTTAACAAAATCGAAGTATCATCCACATAACCGACTATGCACGCTGCACGAATATTACCCAGTACCCCATATCCCAAACTGCCATCCACCAGGTCATAAAATGGATTTTGCACACAGGCAAAAAGCAGTTGAGAGAGGGGGCACCCTTGCATCAGATCCCGTTCCATGCGTACAGGCTGCCCTAACTTACCATTTACCTGTATTCTTACCATTGCAGAGGCATACAAAGTGTCAACCCATCGTACTATTCCCTCCCCAAAACCCTGCTTCAATAAAATAAGCCCTAATAAATCTCTGTCAACACAGTCGTAAGCATTTTGCTAGTCAAGCCCGAGGACACCCCCCCCCCTTGACATTCCCCCCAAAACTCCCTAATACGTCCATGTCCTTCCCTCATGCTCCTACCAGGTATGCCTAGCTGTCCCCTATGAATAACCGATTCCATGACTGTTCTCATCCTGTTACCTAGGACCTTTGCAAATATTTTATAGTCTGAACACATAAGAGAGATAGCCCTATATGCGCTCAGATCCCTCCCCCACTCCCCTTTGGGTACCAACACCACCACCCCTGTACTCTGTGATGTACCTAACCTCCCCTCCATGAGCATGCAATTCAATACCTCAACCAAGCATTGTTTAATGCTCCCATACCCCCGGCCGGGATTGAACCCGCGGTCATAGAGTCTCAAAACTCCAGCCCGTCGCGCTAACCACTAGACCAGCTATCGCGACCAATAAGTTTCATACTTTAATATATATCTACACCATAGGAAGGTTAGCACAGCACCTCTGTGACCACAATCAAGTTTTACAGACGAAATCTCCAGCTAGCGTGGCCGTGGACGAACTCTAGCTCAAGTCCCTTCACTGCCGTCAACATGTGGTCACAGAGGTGCCTGTGCTAACCTTCCTATAGTGTAGAAATATACCTAGTTGGATGAATCTTATTGTGCTAGCTGTCCTAGTGGTTACGCGACGGGCTGGAGTTTGAGACTCTATGACCGCGGGTTCAATCCCGCCGGGTATGTTTATTTGCAATCGTGTCATTACGATTTCTTAAGTCATTGTTTAATGCTTCCCCAATGCGTCCTATAAAATTCATTCGATATGCCATATATACCTGGTGCTTTCCCTTTACTCATCTGAAAAATCGCCTCTTCGACCTCCTCCACATGAATCCTACCCTCGAGTACCCTCCGATCCCTTTCACTTATGACCTTTTTGAATACCCCCCCCCCATCAGAACACCCTCATGAACCCCCCCTGCTCTTCGCTGGAGCTTTTCCTCGAACCAAAGATCAGAATAGAAACTCATGCTGTCCGTATTAGTGGGCATCTGACCACGCAGGTATCCACCCAAACCCGTGCATACTTCCAAATGCAGGAGGGATGTTGCTTGTTGTCTAACCCTAAATTTCCGCAAGACACAACCTGAAGGTTTGTCACCCCATAGCACCTCTTCCATACCCACCCTGATTCTAACCGCATCAAAACGCTCATTGTGAATTTCGGCAAGTTGTTTGCGAAGATGTTCAATGTCTTCATACCTACTACTTCCGCCCCCAACATAATCGTTCAGTTGCCCCTCCAGGTAATTTTGTAGCCCATACCTCCACTGCGCTTCTTCCTTACCCCATTTCCTATAATTCTCTATCCCGGGTTTGGCGCACATTTCCCACCAATCCAACAAACATTCACCATTCTTCCGAGTTTCCCAGAGCTTCTTCCACCAAACCTGAAAAGTAGACCCATCCCCCTTCCCCTCCAGAAACCGCACATTTAGTTTCCAATAACCTGGATAAATCCATATCATTCCATCCCAGTCCAAATCTGCTAGCACTGCACGGTGGTCGGAAAACCCCATATCAAAGGTCTGTATGCGCCCAACTCGAATTCCTTGTGTTACATAAATCCTATCCAGATGGGCCGCGTGTCCTCAAACGTATGTTCCACCCCCCACCCACCCCTCCCCACCACATCATAAACCCCTGCATCCCCCAGCAAATTTCTTAGGACAGGTAAAACGCACCCCGCCCCCCTCGGCTCAACATCACCATGGCGGGCAACGCAATTCTAATCCCCACCCAAGACCGAAATTAAAGGCAAATCCCGAAAGTGAAACGTTAAAGTCTCCCTCACAAAATCTATTTTAACTTTTGAGTTACTGTCCACTGGCATAAAAATTCCGATAAAACAAACTCTAACCCCACCCCAATACCCATCCACCCTTACCACCCTTCCACCTCCCCCCTCCTCCCATCCCAGGACGCACCAAGGGCTAGACTCCTTCACTGCTATAAGCCACCCCACCCTTGAATTTTAAAGAATTACTCACATACATTCGGTAGCCTTTCAACCGTAACACTCTACCAAACTTGTAATTGTGTTCTTGCATAAAACATACATCCACATCGTAACGTTGCAAAAACCACTCCATCCACACTCTTTTAACTTCTGTCCTTAGGCCATTGGCATTGATGGTGACACACTTGAATTTACAAAAAAGGTGGTTTACCTCTATGTTTTTGGGTCTTTCCCGTTCCCACACGTACATTAGGCTTTGTCATTCGGCTTCTCGAGACCCCCCTTCCCCCGTGCTCTACCCTTATGCTGGGACCTTGCAACTACCCCTTCTGTGATAGGTGTCTTAGCCACTTTTGCCCACGATTTCCTCCCCGGGCACTGTCCTGGTGTCAAGACCTCGTCCATATCCGACGCTCCCACCGATCGTTTGCGAGAGCTGCCATCCACATACATCTCCTCGCTAGACGAACCTCCACCACCACCTCATGCGTCCGTACGAACGTGGTTTTGTCCTGCATCTCCATGTTAGGGGATTCCTCGGTCGTTAACTCACGACACGCCATTGAAACAACAGGACCACGCTTTGTTCCATCCAGAAGGTCATACAACACGTCTTCCAGCAACTTATCCTGTGTCAAATCCTCAGGCCTCAGAGGATCCACAGAAAGCGTGGGCACGGTCGATGCATCCACTGACAGGGTGGCACACATTGTAGACTGTGTGTCCTCCTGTTGCATTTCGTCACTCCGAAGCTTGGGACCTTGCCCAGCTGAGGTACCAGCCTCAGGCACGAGGGCCTCAGCTCGTAGGCCCACAGGTGAATGGTCTCGGGAGTGGACAACCAGTCTACGTGGGCACTGGGCAGCCATATGCTCATAAGAGTTGCATAGTCTGCATGTTTTCCTTTGACCAGCGTAATGAATAAACACCTGGGTCCTATATTTCTCTAGACGTACGTAAGAGTGAATGGGCTGGCGGAGCGTCATCTTGATGGTGAAGGAGCCCTCCGGGAACCCCTCGTATGGGCCCTCTCTCCACACTCCCTTGGTCGCTGCATGCACCGTTCCGTATCGACCAAAAACATCCCGCAGATCGTACTCCTCAGCCACGAAAGGCACGTTTCTCACCTTGACCCAGGTAGACAAACCTCCACAGCTGAATTCACCACCATTCTCCTTTCTTGAAAAGTTTGCACAATCTTGTTGTAGAAACCGGCATTCACGAATTTCACAAATATCCTCGACATCCCATTCAGAGCTACGCCAAATAATTCTTCATTGGGGAAGCCGTAGACGTCGCGTATGATGCATGGCATTAATGTATGCATTGTAGAACCACTGAGGGAGCCTTGTGTGAATGCAACACAGACCGTGTTTACTCTCCGGCCTTGACGGTCCGCCATCTTGTGAATTGTAGTACTCAGGCCGCCACCAGGTGTGAGCCGGAGCAAGCTCAGAGTGCGTCCTTCCAGCCAGCGGGTTGAGAGACGAATGACCTTCTTTGTTGACGATACCAGAATCTGCATGACAATGTAATCCATCGAGGATACTGCAAGTCTCCAAGCGGACATTAACCAAATCTTTAAATGGAAGCCAGAAATCAATATGAAATTCAGTGAAGACAAATTTCAATTACTCCACTATGGAGAACTCGAGGAAATAAAAACTGTATCGAAGTATAAAACAAATTCCAAACACACAATAGAACAAAAAACTAATGTGAACGGCTTGGGAATGGTAATGTCAGCAAATCTCAATGTCAAAGACCACAGCAGTGTATCTACCAAATCTGCTAGGAAAATGTTAGGATGGATAATTAGAACGTTCAAAACTATGGATGCCAAGCCATTGATAATTCTCTTCAAATCGATTGCTCTCTTTAGGCTGGAATAATGCTGCACACAAAAGGTCCCTTTCAAAGCAGGCGAAACTGCAGGCCTGGAGAATATACAGAGAATCTTTACTGTATGTATAAGTACCATAAAACACCTAAATTACTGAAAATTACTGAAATTGGAACACAGGAGAAAAAGATACATGAAAACATACACTTACAAAATCCTAGAGCGACTAGTTCCAAATCTACACGCCGAAATCACTCCCCACGATAGCAAAAGACTAGGCAAGCGGTGCAACATATCCCCCTTGAAAAGAAGGGGCGCCATGAGTACGCTAAGAGACAACTCAATAAGTGTCAGGGGCCCAAGACTATTCGACGGCCTCCCAGCATGCATAAGGGGGATTACTAATAGACCCGTAGTTGTTTTCAAGAGGGAGTTGAGCAGACATCTAAAGTCAGTACTTGACCAGCCATGTTGTGGTTCGTATGTCGGTCTGCTTGCGGCCAGCAGTAACAGCCTGGCCGCGGGGGCGTTGACTCTCGGGATGCCCTCCACGTATAGTCCAGGTATCTAGACACCTTTCTCGGAGAGTCCGCGATAGGTGGTAGCAACAGTGGGATACGTGGTGATACCAGTGATATTAGTGGTGGTAGAAGTGAGATCACTGGTGGTAGACGTGAGATCAGTGGTCAAAAGTAGTTACCTAATATTTTTGGCAGCTACTTGGGATAAAGTACTTAGCCACTTTTCTCTCAACACGTTCCTACAGCGACACACCTCGAGTGGTGCAGTCAACAACTTTTATGAGCACTTCATATATATGAGCAGAGGTAAAAATAGAGATAACATCTGTTGTCGCTAAGACCACTTTCTTACACTTACTATTCTATTAAATTTGTAGGGCTGCACATTGATATAGTCTGCTGCAGATATTAACTGATAAAATAACGCTGGAAGACTTACAAACTGTATGACTGTCATGACATGTGAGTGCAGGCTTTCCTGCCTCCTCAGACATGTGGTTTTAAGATTAAGATTAAGATTAAGATTTTGTTCGGATTTTTAACCCCGGAGGGTTAGCCACCCAGGATAACCCAAGAAAGTCAGTGCGTCATCGAGGACTGTCTAACTTATTTCCATTGGGGTCCTTAATCTTGTCCCCCAGGATGCGACCCACACCAGTCGACTAACACCCAGGTACCTATTTGCTGCTAGGTGAACAGGACAATAGGTGTAAGGAAACGTGTCGGAATTTCCACCCGCCGGGAATCGAACCCGGGCCCTCCGTGTGTGAAGCGGGAGCTTTAGCCACCAGACCAACTATCACAAAACAGTAAATATTCGTAGATTTCGGCACTCAAAACTTGAACACTTGGAAGAAGAATAATATGTATAGGCTGGGTAATGTTAAATCATGATAGGTCAATCTTCATAGTGAGGTTATTGGATAAATTTCTTAGATCTTTCAGAGATATATATTATGTAGAAGTAAACAGTATTAAACGGCTTGCAAAATGTTAATGCCAACTTACTTCCTCTTCGACATAAAATTTGTCAAACTCCAGATTAACACAGCACTTGAGTATCAGTCGACGTAGTTTCTGAACCATCCGCGAACATTATACAGAGAATGTAATGTATTTAATGACCCTTATGGGTTTAGCACTTTGTAATAATAATAATATTATTACTATTATTTTACCATCCACTTCTTATTTTATACTGACAGTAAACATCTGTGATAGTAACATGATCGAGTTTACCAAGATTGCACTGTCAGAATTCATCAAAGCAGAATTTACCTTATTTCCGATAATTTAATATGTATTGATACGTTACCTATATGTGTGGACGCTCAGTTGTCAACACAAAACATGAGATGGAGATTCAAGTGAACTGTACTGAATATGAGGAGGGAAGGTTACCTGACCAACACAGTACATGACCGGAGGTCACTAGGAAGAAACACAATACCTCGCCAGCACTGAACATGAAGGTGAGTTTCTGCACAAGGTTCAGGAGGACAGGATCGTGGCGAGGAAACCTGGTGCCGCCCATCACCGCCCACAGGATGTTGATGCTCGACACACCTAACATGTCCTGTGGGAAAGTAGTGTTGATAACATTATGACAGATGTTTTAACAACTTTTCACGTATGTAAACAACAGAGTTTCTTATGAGTTATTTGTGCTTATTTTAGGCAGCTACTGACTTTTATCACATATGCATCACCTCATCTACAGATTGTTCCTTTCTCAACAAACTCAAGTACTATCCAGAAAAATGGTAATTTTCAAGTAATAGTGACTTTAAGTACTACAAGAACAATACATCTACAGCTGCCATAGATATTGCACTCATTAAATGGTTGTAATTATGACCATAATTTTGAAAGGAGTGGACTGGTAAGCCGGAGGAAGGCCTCGGTCAGATGACCAGAAGCTCCAACATCTGACCAAAACCCGCGTCAGAAAACACTTGTCCTGTTTCCTGACGACCCTTACATAACCTAACCTAGGATACTGCACCCACAGAGGAATGTTTAATATTCCCATCGTTCTACTAAAGTCTCCCAGCTCATGATAGATTCCATGTGATGGAATATATGGTACACTAACTAACTATTGCTCCCATGTAACTCTCACATAATAGTGCAGCTTCACACTGCGGATGTGTCTATTTTCCTTGAATTAATAATATCGATAAGATGGCAGCGCATATTTTGTGGCTATAGTATAAACAAAATCTTACCTTGAGGCTTACGCTTCCATCAGTCTCCTGAATCTCGGAGATGAGATCTTGAGCTTCCTCATGGATGACCGCCTCGTGGGAGCGCCTGCCGATACCCAGGTTACGCAGGTGATGGAGGGTGAAGCGACGTTGCTCCTTCCAGTAGTCTTTCTGTGTGAACATTACCCCTAACGAGTGAAACGACACTCGTTAAACTACAATGTAATGCAAGTTAGATGTAAGGGAGTTAAACGGCTCACAGAAATATTCAAAAGGTACAAGGCTGCAACCCAAGCTTATTTTTTTTTTTTTGGTAAAGACGTAGGTGAAGATATGATAACCTGATGGTATACCTGGAGGGTATTCCAAGGATCAACGCCTCCGCGGCCCAGTCCATGACCGGGCCTCGCGTTGGATCAAGACCTGATCAACCAGGCTGTTACTGCTAGCCGCACGCAAACCGACGTAAGAACAAAAGCCCGGCTGACTTGAAGTGTCCAGCTCCCTATTGAAGACAGCCAGGCGGCAGCTGAATGGTCTTGGACCCATGACATTTATTGTGTCTCTTAATGTACTCATGGCGCCCCTGCTTTTCATCGGAGGATCTTCCGGAGTCTTTTGCTTTCGTATGGAGTGATTTTTCAAGTGTATATTATCATGCATCATTCTCACCTGCGTTCCAAGGAGTTTAGGTCGAGGGACTTCAACCGTTCCCTGTAATTTGTGAGCTTTATTGTACTTATGTGCTGTGAAAGTTCTCGGTATATTCTCTCAGTTTGAACTTTCGCTTAGGGGCCATTAGCGTACAGCAATATTCCAGCCTAGAGAGAACAAGCGATATGAAGAGAATCCTCAGTGGCTTGGCATCCTTAGTTTTCAGAGATCTCACTATCCACCTAATTATTTTCCTAGCATATGTGGTAGACACACTGATGTAATCTTTGAAAGTGAGATTTTTTGACATTATCACTGCAGGTCCTTCATATTAGTTGTTCGCTCTATTGTGTGGTTCAGATTTGTTTTATACTCCGATTCAGCATTTATCTCCTCGAGTTTTCCTAAGCGGAGTAATTGAAATTTGTTTTTATCGAACTTCGTATTGTTTTCTGACGCCCGTTTAAAGACTTCATGTTCGCTTGGAGATTTGCAGTGTATTCGATGAAAAACACTGTCATACAAATTCTGATATAATTAGCAAAGGAGGACACGGTGCTGTACTCACCTAGTTATACACACCTAGTCGTGGTTGCTTACATCTCGGTCTATATCAGATATGAGGATAAGGAAAAGGATGGGAGCGAGTACTGTGCCTTGTGGAACAGAGCTTTTCACTGTAGCCGCCTCTGACTTTATTTACTATTACTCTTTTGTTCTGTTTGTTAACAAGTTATAGATCCATTTACCAACTTTTCCTGTTATTCCTTTATCACGCATTTTGTGTGATATTACACCATGATCGCACTTGTCGATGGCTTCCAAAGTCTTTGTATAATACATCTGCATTTTGATAGTCCTCCAGTGGAGCCAAGATCATGTCATATTGATCCAGTAGCTGTGAGAGGCAGGAAGGACCTGTGTTAAACCCATGCTGTCCATGGTTGTGCAACTGATGGGTATCCAAGCGATTGGCGATTCTACTTCTTAGAATCCTTTCAAAGATAACTATGATGTATGACTTTTGTGGTACCGGTCTGTAATTCCTTGCAATAGCTTTACTACCACCTTTGTGGAGTGGGGCTACATCTGTTGTTTGTAGTGACTGAGCTGACCCTTGTGCTTATGTTCTCGCTTCATAGAATATTTAAGGCAAGTAAAAGTGGTTTCTAGCAGTTGTTAATGAACACTGAGTTCCACGAGCCTGGGGCAGAGTGCATGGCATGTCATTTATTGTGTGATGAATGGTTTTGAAAACCGACAAGTTGAAGAATTGTCTCAATTCTTCAACTTGTCGGTTTTCAAAACCATTCATCACATCTGTCAGACACTGCAACATCATGGAATCTTGGTACAAAGACTTCAACGCTTGCCCAAACCTTTGGACGATGAACCTACTTACATTAGTGCAGGTCCACTAAATCCGCTCCTCCTTATTCAACTCATCTCACCGCAGTATATAAGCCACCTCTCTGGCCCTATGCTGCACTTACTACAAGAGTGATGGACTGAACACATCGAATCCAGGTTGAGGGACTGATTACCTCATACTTCTACTCTCCTTACCAATTTCTACTTTGTATTGGACTGATGAAGCCACTGTGTGGCGAAACGTTTCTTCAATAAAGATTCCCATGTGTTGCATAAGTGTCTCAATTCTTCAACATGTCATTTATTGCTTTTTCAGAGTCCTGTGGTGTTAAGATTCTTGAATTAACCAATTTTTGGATCACGGTCATAAAAAAAATTATTTAAATTGTCGACCCTTAGTTTGATTAAAGGCTCACTAAACTCTGCGTCATATTGGGACTTCAGTATCTTACTCACTTCTTTGCTGTCATCTGTGTAAGTCCCGCTTGTTTAAACAGGAGCCCAATACTGGATGTGGTTTTTGCCTTAGATTTGGCATAGGATTTTTTTTCTGTTTCATTTATTGCTCTAAGTTATTCCTGTTTTTTTGTCTCCTGTATGTTTCCTTAAGCTTAAGTTAAATATTTTCTACTTCTCTGGCCAGTACCTCCTTCCGTATTTCAGATATAATGGCCCCTTACAGCAGCTTTGTGATTCTTTGTCTGTATGGGGAGCGTCTCTTTCTTTGCCATCGCATGTCGACGGAGCGTCTCTCTATTTCTGATGTACATCGTCACTTCTTTTCTCTTAGGGGAATTGGTTTTGAACTCACCTTAAGTGCCACAGAGGTAATTTATGGTGATTGCATATGGTCCAAATAAAAAAAAAACTATCTTCGTAAATACCTGTTGGCCATTGCTATAATGTCTATTACTTTGAGTACACTGTTCTTAAGATTACACTGATCCACACACAACACACACACACACACACACACACACACACACACACACACACACACACACACACACACACACACACACACACACACACACACATATTAAGATCATTAATGTATACGAGAAAAAGATTTCTTGACATCAAACAGACGAACATGAAGCCACAGTTGTAAACTGAGTAAAAGCTGTTCTCAAATGACACTAATTGGTAGAATAATGGAATGTGGTAGCCAAGAGTGTGGTAAATGTTACAAGCACTGGTAAATTTAATAATATTACGACAAACACAAAAGTTCTGGACATTTTAAGCATGATTGTGTTCCTGTAAATAAATAAATATATATATATATATATATATATATATATATATATATATATATATATATATATATATATATATATATATATATATATATATATATAATTGCAGACACATAAATGCACACGTATTCACAAACACTCATATGAAAACCCGCACAATGCTCTTCACATTTCGTTTCTGTACCTAGGTATTCACCACCGTCACGAAGTTTGATGAAGGAGTTTTCTGCGCGGCCATTAAGGTCATCGTTGAGGAGTGACTCCTTGACGGCTTCCCAGCCGTTGACGATGACGGTAGGCTGGGAGCCCAGGAACAGTCCGACCACGTCGCCGAAGGTGGAAGAGAGTTTCCACAGCTGTTTGTGAGGATTCTTAGCATCCATGTATGGTAGAAACCCAAACAGAGGAAGCCGAGATGGACCTATAAAAAAGAGTCACCAAAGACTGATGATGGTAATACATTTCATTATAACAAGCAACACTAACTAGAAAAACAGAAGCAATGTTTAGGTTGGCAACACAAGGGCTTCTATCTCTTCTTTTTCTCATAAGAACTATTTTTTACTTAATGTTAACCAGTAAAAAATAATTACAAAACCATTAAAAATTTTCTTACAAACACAGGATTCTTTTATTTATATACAAGTAATATTTTGCATATAACAGTTATATTCATTAAGTTATGTGTGGCGCGTATATGGTCATCCTAACCTAACTTAAACTTCTAATGTATTTAATATGAAGACATTGAAAAATTCTTAGTTCAACACTTAATTCATAAGTAATTTGTAAATTTCCTTAAAGTCTCGGTATATAACAGAGATGGATTATGGCTCATACAGGGTTGACACCGGAATTGTGTGTGTGTGTGTGAGAGAGAGAGAGAGAGAGAGAGAGAGAGAGAAGAGAGAGAGAGAGAGAGAGAGAGAGAGAGAGAGAGAGAGAGAGAGAGAGAGAGAGAGAGAGAGAGAGAGAGAGGGAGAGAGAGAGAGAGAGAGGGAGAGAGAGAGAGAGAGAGAGAGAGAGAGAGAGAGAGAGAGAGAGAGAGAGAGAGAGAGAGAGAGAGAGAGAGAGAGAGAGAGAGAGAGAGAGAGAACAGCTAACACTATTGCCTACCAGTGTAAATGGCCTCCAAAGTGGAAAGAGGCTAATGTAGTCCCTGTTCACAAAAAGAATAGCAGAGAGGAAATCAGCAACCACAGACCAGTGTTAATCCTGTCAGTCACTGGCACGATTCTTGAGACAATAATCCTTGGTTAGGCCTCATTTAGACTATGCTGCTCAGTTCTGGTCACCCTATTACAGAATGGATATAAATGCTCTGGAAAACGTACAAAGGAGGATGACAAAGATGATCCCATGTATCAGAAATCTTCCCTATGAGGATAGACTGAGGGCCCTGAAACTGCACTCTCTCGAAAGACTTAGAATTAGGAGTGATTTGATCTAGGTGTATAAATGGAAAACAGGAATAAATAAAGGGGATGTAAATAGCGTGCTGAAAATTTCCAGCCATGACAGGACTCGTAGCAATGGTTTCAAGTTGGAAAAATTCAGATTCAGGAGGGATATAGGAAAGCACTGGATTGGTAATAGAGTTGTGGATGAGTGGAACAAACTCCCGAGTACAGTTATTGAGACTAAAACGTTGTGTAGTTTTAAAAATAGGTTAGATAAATACATGAGTGGGTGTGAGTTGACCTGACTAGCTTGTGCTGCTGGGTCTGGTGCAGTGCTCCATCCATGAGTGGAGATGACCAGGCTGGGTGGGTCATTGGTCTAATCCGGGGGGTGAAACATGGACCTGCTCCGCTTGGGTCAGTAGGCCTGTTGCAGTGTTCCTTCTTTCTTATGTTCTTATGTTCTTATGGCAGATTATAGCGTTTTTCAACTACCTTTCATTTCTTTGTGACCGTCAATATGTCTTCAGAAAAGGTTACTCTTCTGCCGATTTGCTGTTAAACCTCTCCACTAAGTGTCACCAGTCACTGGATGAATCCTAAGTTAGCTGTGTAGTAGCACTGGACATTGTTGGTGCTTTCAATCGAGTATGGCACCAAGGACTCTAGGCAAAACTACAAGCACTGGGAACCTCAAGCTCAACACTATGCCTCCTTAGCGATAACCTTCAAGGTAGATCACTAAGCGTAGTTCTCAACAAGACCGAGTCGGCAGGACCTCCTATTAGTGCAAGTGTTCCACAGGGCAGTGTACTTGGGTCATTGTTATGGAATGTCTACTTCAATGACCCTTTTTCATCTCGTCCCAGAATCCCATGCATACGCAGACGACTGTACTCTGACACTTACTTATCCAAAGTTACATCAATCACCAGCTTACAACCATATCATCTTGGGGAAAACGATGGCAATTCATATTTGCTCCTGAGAAAATACGAATGATGATGGTCTCTAGGCACTATGATGGTAATGCTGGAGCAGTGGTAAGAATGAATGGGAGAGTGTTGATAACCGGGGACGAAGCTGATATCTTTGAGGTGAAATGTGACTCCAAACTAACACTGAAGAACGAGGCACAAGTACGCTAACACCTTGAATGTATTCTACTATCATGAACATCAAAATGGTATACAATACCGACAGGTTGGTAGGTAAGACACATAGGCAACAGTTAGGCAACTTTATTCCGAATCGTTTCGCCTACACAGTAGGTTTCTTCAGTCGAATACAGAAAGTAGGCAGGAACAGTATTCGACTGAAGAAGCCTACCGTGTAGGCGAAACGTTTCGGAATAAAGTTGCCTAACTGTTGCCTATGTGTCTTACCTACCATTCTACTGTCATGGATGGCCTACCCTCCGTCTTATCTGACTCGGTGACGGAATAGAGAACAAAGCAAGATGGCTTATCTCTCGCCTGGATAGATTTGCTGTTTAAGCAGATCTTTGAACATAGGAGGGATGTGGGTGGCCTTACTGTAATGCACAAGGCCAATATTGTCAAAGTACCACATTTGGCTCCACTCCATCACTTCTGGAGCGGAGGCACAGTCATTGGCCTCCACCACAGAACAACAGATATTAATGCCAGCAAACAAAGAGTTCCCCCTACATACGAATAATACGACATTTATCTTCGTAAACATACAGGATCTAAAGCCATCGACAACGAAAACGCAATGTTTGAGACTTTCACAGAGACCCACATAAACGATCACTTTGACAACGAAATATGGATCCAGGCTAAAACCTACTCAGATGCGATAGAGTAAACAGGCAACAAAGGGGGTTGGCCTGTATGTCAGAGTCGCTCATTTGGTCGGAACTGTTAAACCCCCAAATGAGTAGTTTGAAGTTTTGGTAGTAAAGATCAAAAACCAAAACCTTGTCATCGTGGCTGTATACAAGCCTCCGGATGCAACTTCCCAACAATTCCAGGAACAACTTTTCATAACTGACCACTGCCTGGAAAACCTCCCAACTCCTGCCCCAAACATCTTGCTGCTGGGTGATTTCAACTTAAGACACCTAAAGTGGAAGAGTGTAGCAAATAATATTTTAGCATAGACAACCAGGAGCAGCTCAGATAAAATTTCACACAGCTACTACTGTCCTGGAGGACAGTGCTGAGGGTGTTAGTGCTGTCCTGGAGGAAAGTGCTCCAGAGGGTTCTAGTGATGTCTTAGAAGATAGTGCTCGTGAGGGTACTAGTGTTGTCCTGGACGACAGTGAGAGCAACGTTATTCAGTCCACAGAGGTTCAAAATAGAGATTCTGCTGCAGATGGATCAAAATGGGATGATACCTCAGGGAATAGTGTCACCACATTACCAGCAAAACCTGGTGGGAGCACTGATGTCCATACAGGGGTCAAAGATAGGGAGGAAACAGGAAAAATAAATGCGCCAGTAGCAAACGCAGCTACAATAAATCCTAGCAACAGACTCACAATTTATGTAAATACTATGCCTTGGGTATCTGCAGGCACGGTATATCTAGTAAAACAGGTGAGATATGCACCTTTGACCATCCCAAAAATGCCACACCCACATGACAACAGAAGACTGCAACTTCCTCTCTTGCAGTTTATTTCAACCAGAAATGTGTTACTCATCAATCCATGAAAGAAAATGCTACAACGCATACTGCCAGGCACATCATCTAAAGAGAACCAGACCAGACTATGGGAAACAAAAGAGGGGAGTCACAACCTCTTCAGGGACAGAGGTTTTTTAGGGCCAGGAGGAAAAAAAGACTGGCAAGAAATGAAAATAATCCTACACCAACTGAAAACACTTCTGGAGCAGAGGCACGGACGTTGGCCTCTACCAGAACAACAGATAAATTTGAGCCAGCAAATAAAAACCCCCCCTAAATTCCCCCAATATAAAGACATTTGTCTTTGTAAACATACAGGGTTTAAAACCCTCAAAAAACAACAAAAACCTTACATCAAGGGACTGCTTATGGGAGTCAAATGCAATGTTTGCAGCATTCAAAGAGACCCACATAAAGGATCATTATGACAACGAAATATGGATCCCCAAATTATAACCCATTCTGATGTGACAGACTAAACAGGCAACATGGAGGGGTTGGCCTGTATGTCACAGAGTCGCTCATTTGTACAGAACTACTAACACCTCAAATGATGCAGTTGAAGTTTTGGCGGGAAAAGACTGAAAAACCCAAAAACCCTTTTCATTGTGGCAGTACACAAGCCTCCAGATGCAACTTCCCAGCAATTCCAGGAGCAACTTTAGAAAATTGACCCCTGTCTGGAAATCTCCCCGCTCCTGCCCAAACATTTACTACTTTATATACAGCAAACAATGTTTTAGCAGAGATCACCCCGGGAGGCAGCTCAGATGAAAATTCACACACACACGAACTATTAAATCTCTGCACCAAATTCACCTTTAAACCAGAAAATATAGAGCCAAAAACTAGAAAATACGCTGGCCCTCATCTTCACTAACAATACGATTTAATACGAATATAACTGTATAAAAGACAATACACTAATCAAAACTAATAGGTAACATGTATGTACAGGGCTCCTACCAACAAAATGTGAACAGTAAAAAGGTCTCCTACAAATTCAATTAAATAACAACATACAGGGGTAAGAAAATCTTTCCCAAATGAAACAAGGGGGAAAATACCCTAAACAACAGGGATCCGAACTTTCCCTTTGAAAAAAAAAATGAATTTCTGAGTTCCTGAATCTGCTCAAGACAAATCCTTTAAAGAAAAAGAAAACAAGTGTGAAAGAGAGAGATTTTCCCTATCAACAAGTGAAGAGTCAAGAGCTACTGATGGGGCCTAAATATCTAAATACGAAGGAAGCCTATTCAATAAAAATTGAAAATATCGAACTTAAGTTTAAGAAATTACAGGAGACAAGAATCCAGGAAAAACAAAAAGCCAAAAAGGAAAATTGGAAAAAACTAAAAATAC